TCGAAAGTGAAAGTGAAACTAAAAAGCGATCATGCATTCAAAAGCAGTTTCAATGCCAGGCATAATAGAATAAATTCATATACAGTATAATTACCCAATGATATAACTGCAAGAGAAAGTATTGAAATATATATTTTCCTCCCATCTCGGGGGGAGATCACGATGCCGGCTCAACATTGTGATGTCTATCGCTGATGGCATCGTCTATTGGCCCAACCCTAGTATATAATAGTTGTAAGTGTAGTTTGCCACAACAAATTTAATTTTTCAGTATGATTTACCCATACACATATTATCATATACACAACATATGGCATATGTCCAGGCACAACATACATTCATTTTCGCTTATTTTTATAAAAGGTGCCAATAATTCTAGCACTGCTTTATATCTCACTAATCAGCATAGAAAAACCAACATAGAATTAATGAAATATGGAACCTTTTGATACACAAATTTGCTATTAGTACACTTGTAGCTCAATATTTCACATAATGTACATTACATTTTTATTTCTATAAAGTAATCTGAAAACATTTTTGTGCTGTTATGGCAAAATCAAAACCTCTTTTGATGATCACATAGGTATAAAATAATATATTCCACATATTTGGGAATAAATAGGTATAATTAGTTAACATTAATGATTAAACTTGTTCTGGACTAATTAAACTAAAGAAGTTAAATTCAACTTGCTAAATCCCTCTTTGAATTGCAATGCAATAAATCATTTTTCCTGTCATTCCAATTGACCTATCGGTAAGCCCCTCTCCTCGAACGCAGATGAGCCAATGGCAGTCGAGTATCAGTTGCACGGGGAGCGGAACTCGGACATCTGTAGGTTTCAGCGCCATAGAGAAACATTGGAAGATCCGAAGCTCGCATCATTTTTTTATGGGGTTTATGCTTCAAAAATGGAAAAACAATGTGCCTGGGGTACTTGTAACAGTGATTACAGGTATCCTGAGAGGATAGGCAATGGAATTTATTTTATTCCATTTCCTAAACCTAAACAAAACGGAGCAAAATGTCCCAAAGCATTCACTCCCAATCCCAATGAAGACAAAAAAGTTAGTTTTGGTTGTCATACTCTCATTAAGTTACTATTTTCATCTGCTCAAGCAGAACGTTAATGTCATCTTGTGCTTTAGCAAGGTGTCTCTGGCTAAAACTAGCTAACGTTAAAGTTAGTGAGTCCATACAAACCTAAATAGCAGACTGTTCTCACGTCTTGTACAGTGTAGAACAAAAACACATAAACGTAGGTCTCTTTATATTAAACTGGTTAAATGTATATAATTTAATCGTACCCTGCTATACATGAACAGTGTTGATCCGGGATGTTGTTATCTGCGATTGTGACGAACGTAACATGAGGTTTCTCCCGCTTGCATTGTGATCTGTAAACCCTCGCTTCCAAATTAATATCCACAATATTTATTTTAAAATCTTTTAGATATCCCTCCATGGCATATTTAAGTCCCACTTGAATGGTGGTCATTCTGTGTCCAAAATTGATCAACAAGATATGGGGAGCAAGGTTTTCGAACTGACAGCTGTCATTGTAAGACAGTTAGCAACTCCGTTTGTTTGTCTGAGTTCGCAATAGTAACTAAAGGGGCCACCCTTAGTTACCGATAGGCCAATTCAAATTCCAATGTATCATACAGTGGGGTGTGGCCAATTCAATACAAATTCATCATGAACGGAGAGAGAATTTTTAAATTCTGAATTTTGCCCAACCCTGGTCCACTGGGTAAGAGTGACATTCTTTACACCTCAGTAAATAATTTACTCACTAATTTTAAAAACGGGCAGGATGCTTGGGTTAAGATGAACAGACAATTGATTTATAGGCAACATCTAGAGGGTTAGTGCTACATATACTTTCCAAAACAAATTCATCTAGATCCTGCATAGTAAAAGAGTGTTGACAGCATTTTGTCCTTCACTGGCTAAACAGGTCCTTTGGATTGAAAGTCTAGACAGCATTAATGATCATATAAACAGCACTGTGGTGCAAACATGTCAGTACATGATTTACTCTTTGATGGGGCACAGAAGCCTTTATTAATCAGTTTTAAGCTCTGCAACAACACCATTAGAATAGAGATAACCACAAACGCTTTTAATTTAGGTTAGCCTATCACTTATCAGAAATGTGAAGGAATAACCACAACAAGACAACAACTTTTCTATAGTGTACAAACCACAAAGTGGTGAATTAAGAAGAATATGCAACTTCTGGAAGAGTCAATCAATTCTGTTTTACTACAACCAACACCATGGTGAAGCCAGGGCTGTCAAAGCTTGTAGAGTAACCGAGTCAGCATTATTTCAAAGGCAAAACTGTTTTCTGATACGGACACATCACACATGAAGAGCCAACCTCACCCAAACCCTGCCCGAATACTTTCCACATTACTCCCAACATCAATTGCTGTCTCTGTCAAGGCTGGTGCTTGTCAATAAAATGCGGCGTGAACAAATTAATTTGTTCTCAGGCAGTTGCAACTTGCAAGTGAGTACTTACTGACATCCAGCAAAACCTGACGTTGAAAAACACTTTCCTGAAATAACCCTCCTAGCATTATAAGAAAACTATTAGGGTTGGGCGATATATATATCAAACAATCATAATATATTCACAATGATCTTGCTGACAACATTAAATGAAGAAATGTTGTAAATATTGCAATGATTTTCATGTGCTTTTTATTTGGCCATCAAGTTGCTATAACACAAGTTGTACAATCCTTCCTTGTCTCACGAGTTGAAGAATACGACAAATGTTTAATTAATATCTCTGATTTAAACCTGACAAACCCCCAACTGCTGCCCAGGCACCACAGCAAAAAATGGCTGCCCACTGCTCCAGCATGTGTTCATGGTGTGTGTTCACTGCTGTGTGTGTGCACTTTGGATGGGATAAATGCAGAGCACTAATTCCGAGTATGGGTCACCATACTTGGCCACGTCACTTCACTTTTCACTTTAAAATATATACAAAACACAGCAGAGCTAAGCTTCATGACGCCAGACGCTTGACATAACTGCTACTCTATATTTACAAGATGCTCAAGGAAGTGACATCAAAGATAAACAGGCTCTGAACACTGTCAAAATAATATACCACAATCAACAAAACCTATGCAGAAAAAAAAAAAACACTCCGTCTCAGCACTGCAATGCTATAAGGTCAAGGAGAAATATTTGAAATACAAATCTCACATGGATGCCTCTTAAGAGGATTTTGGCATGATTCCCATTAAACACTTTATCTCCATTAATTGCCAGTGTTAGCATTTGATATTCTAGGACAGGGTTCCTCAAATCTTGCCCTGGAGGTCCAATGCGCTGCAGAGTTTAGCTCCAACCCTGATCAAACTCAGCTACCTGTGATTTTTCTAATGATTCTGAAGACATTGATTAGCATGCTCAGGTGTGTTTGATTAGGGTTAGAGCTAAACTCTGCAGGAAAGTGGATCTCGTGGGCCAGATTTGAGGATCCCTGTTCTAGGGCATGAAACCAGTAATTGAGTATAAGCCATCTTATTTCACCCTACAGCCTTCTTAAATGTCTACTGTAGACAGCATTCAATATAAGACGCCTATTGCATAAATAATCATGTATAAATATAATAATAAGATTATGGTTAGTCATGTAATTTAATTTTGGTCTGAATTCTTCGAGCACAAGACCAGAGCAAAAATTAATACCAACAATTAGCCTAATCATCTACACCTTTGAAGGCACAATATGTAATTTTCGCCACAAGAGGGCGCGTATTCAAAATAAACAAATAGACAAAGGCATAGTTAGATGACATGTCTGAGTGTGGAATCATGGGAGTTGTGGTTTTCATCCCCACAGCCGATGCAATCCGACGGGACTCGGGCAGAACTCATGTTCATGGATGAGCTAATGATTTATTAACGTAGTAGAATGAAGCAGGGTGAGGCCGTCGAAGCGAAACGAGGCCGCTGAACGAGCGTGACACACGGCTCGAAAGCAGCGGAGCTTTTATTATGCCACAGTCGACTGCTTCCACTCCTTCTGGTCGTGCGTATGTAGGAAAAAAAAGCAGCACTGTTTTATCATACTAGATACATTTGAAAGTTCTGTTTTAATGCTACTGTTTTAATGTGCGGTCATCACCGGTCTATTAAAACGCACAACATATTAAAGCGTCTTTGGTGTTTCCATGTTTTCTACAAAACAAAACCCGGAAATCAAAGGGTTATGACTTCATTGGCAGGCGACACAATGACACAATAGACACGGTCCGTGTCACTAGTTAAAATTGCTTATTTCTCTGGATTTAAACATTCTTCGAAACATTTGGGATAATGCAAATACACAAGTCAGCAAAATATATAACACTGTTCTAGTGGTTTTTGGATATTTTAATAAAAAATCTTACATATTGTGCCTTTAAAAGGCCCAGGTCAGCAAATAAATAAATACGTTATTTCTGATCTTCACTTCAATCCAAAAGGACGTACTTTCTTCCATGAGGAACTATGAAAACCTTTTTGCATTAGATGTAACTACACAGAAAACAAATGCACAGACATTTAACTAAACTATAATTTTGTGTGTTCAACAGAAGTAAGTCATACAGGTTTGGAACAACATGAGGGGAAACAAATGATGACCAAATTTCCATTTCTGGGTGAATGAATGCTTTAATCTTCATTTAAAGACGTGGACACAAAGTGAAGCCTCTCATTGTGTCTGATCTTGAAATATGTCAACATGAAGGGCTGTAAATGTTCCAGTGACCTCAAAAGCCTGCTCCGTTTCGCTCAAGGGAACGATTCAGGCCCTCAATTCTATGCCAGACAACTGCCTGAAGGAGAATTCCAAAAGAAAGGCCATTGCTTTATAACCCATACTACCCAATCCAATTGAAACACCACCCTGCACCATTTACTGCCATTCAAACCTGCAGAAAATTATGGTTAAGCATCTAAATGTTATAAAAAAGCCTCTTACCTTGAAGTTACTGGAGTTAACCCAAGAGGTGGCGATACCGTCCACCATTTTATCCAGTGCAGTCTGGTCACTCTCCAGGTCGTGACACTTGTCAGCATCTGTGATGTAGTCGATGAGCTCCGGACCCATCTGCAACCTGCGGGCCACATCCTTCTGTAGAACCTGGGTCAGACAGTACTCTATATTGGGCTCCATGGCCTATGATGTCCTGCCACCACCCGTATGGCAGTGGAGAGGAAAAACAAAATAAAAAAATAGGCCTTTAGCGTGTACAATCCAGGCAAAACAAGAGCACACGCTTATTAATATCCCGTGTTGATTAACACTATGAGTGCCACAGGCTGGCAAGAAGCTGAGAGGTAGGGATGTCGACTCGGGAATGCAAACAATGCACCATATGTGACTAGACAACAGCTGATGAGGACTGCGAATTCTCCTTTTTGTCCCTTTAGGAGGCAGCCAAACCACTAGCAGCGGCAGAAGCGCTTTTGGTTGCGGTGGAGCAGCAGGAGTTGTTGTAACTAGAGCAGGAGAGAGAGGGTCCAGCGGAGCATTGCTTCATAATTCAGAGGTCCTCCCTGCTCAGGATGAGAAAAGAGAACTGTTAGCCGAGCACCACCTCTGGATATCAAATGCCAGTGCGGCTGGACCTGCATTTTTGTCAGCTCAGATCAGCAGCCACTTACGAGAAAAGCAGAAAAGCCCTTTGATGGTGACATAACTCAAAGTCCGGCTTGCATTCTCTTAACTAGTTATTTGCTGACCACACATCAGCTGCACGGCTTTGTGGGATACAGCAAGAGAGAAATTCCACTCATATTAAAGGGGTAGTTCACCCTAAAATGAAATTAACTCATCTCTGTCATTTTTAACCAATTTGATGTTTAACAAAAAGGAAAAAAAACACCATAAAAGCACCACAACAGCAGTCCATACAGCTACTAAACTACTAGATAAAGTCCTGACTGTGTTACACAGCAGTAATGCCATCACTAGGATACTTGCCTCCCAACTGCATTGAGACAAAAATCTGCTAAGGCATCATGGGAATAATCTGGCTGCAATCACAGTTGGTCACCGCAAAGTGTATTACTCTGATAAGCAGATTACCTGATGCCCGGACTCCAATTTTTCTGAAAGACTTCATGAAATGAGCAAAAGATACACTGTCCATTGATCAAAGCAGAACATTGAAAATGATGAATGTACTGGTCACTGAGGCAGTTAATGTGTGCGTGTGTAGAGTGGAGTACAAAATGAAAGTCTGAGACCTAAAATATCAGTTTCTGGATCCCAAACTAATGTAAAATAAATACAATAATACTACTAATAAATACATTTTTAAAAAGAAAGAACATTTTCAAAGTAAGATAAGAGATATTTAAGATTCTGCACACAAGATGCTCTTCATAACACGGTCAAATAAAATGGATCATTAGGTTTTGCACAAACTAGTTCATGCAGCTCATCTAAACAAATTTAAACAAATCTAAAGAAAACTCATTTTTAAATTCAACTTTTTCCATGCAAATTATTATGCAGATAATATTATGATACAATTTAGAAAAATGCAAAATAGAAGAAAGATTCACTGGTGATCTCAGACATTTGGTCCACACTGTATTTGTGTTTTCTCTCTTCACTGTCACAAGCGGTTTTGTTTTTGCATTACAAATCTGTGCCTGTACTTCATGTATCTAAGCTACACAATGGTGGGAGGAGACCTTGCCTAGTCTCCTAATTCTCCATAGATCAGAATCACAGGAGTTCATCATTTATGAACTGTGATGTCACCTTAATGTAAAACACACACACACACACACACACACACACACACACACACACACACACACACACACACAAACTACACATGATAATTCATTGATGGCAAGCATTATTTACATGTGCCTCCCTCAAACCACACATCACAAGCCTCCAATTACAGCTTAATTCATCTCTTTGGTGTTTAAAAAGTAACATATCAATCGATTTTAAAACTGGACAATTAGCAAAGAAACTAACCCTGCTGTACACAAGCTAAAACGATCATGCAGTAACCTAAATCCTCACCAGAACTGGGTGGACATCTGATTATAATTCAAAGCAAAATATACTACAGAACTGATGTACTACATAAAGAAAAATATATATCAAAACAAGTAGACTCAAACAGAATGTCATTTCAAGTGAATGACAGGTCCTATATGAGCATCATTGTAAATATATTTAACTTGCATTAACGCTCACGTAGTATCTGTCATTCACCCTAAATGAGATGCTTTACTCCGGAGGCTTTAAAAGACCGCATTGTCTTTTATATACGTTAACAATTCAAATATCAAGCCCCTTTTGTTGAAATCCTTATCAGTGTTTAATTACCAACTGTTTTCATGTCATATCTTGATGTATTTGTTTCTTTTTCATTGAACATCTAGCCGGTTATGCTAGCTCTCACTAGCCGACCGAATAAACTGTCAAAACTCCGGCGATTTACATCACACTGGTACATGTAAACGACAAGCTTGGTTGAAATAATAGGTTATATACTCACTCTGCCAAATCTAGCGGTGGTTTCTGTGTGAAATGACACGGGCTGGGTTATTAAAGGTAAACGAGGTTTGTCTCTCTAGTGCTGCTCCTGTAGACACAATGATGGAGCTGGAATGCGCATGCGCTAAATACCTCTGCTCTATTACTGAATTAATGTAAAATCCGCTTACAGATTTGATACAAACGTTTCATTTTATGTCATTATGACTGCTAGCCATAACGGCTAGCTTGTACCCCTTTATTATGTATGTAATGTACAATATGCGAGTCATTTCTCCATCTATAAACACATTTACCTTTGTAATTACCGATATTTGCTCTTATATTTTGAATGTTTTTCCACACACTAGCCTACAGATATGTTGTTTACACCCGCATATTAGAAATCCTCTGGTGTCCTTCTGTCTCGCTGCCACATGGTCATTTTTCCTTGTGTAGCTAAAACAATGACCTTTATGGCAGGCTATTTTAACATTGATTCCTGAAAACTAACCTATTATTTGATTTTAATTGCTAGCAAGTAATCCAATAGCAAACAGCATCTTTTTTTTCAACTAGCTCAGAGACACTCGTTACTAGAAATTACTCAAATATGTATTTAAATTGTATCTGGTAAACTTTTATTTAATCTTCTTTCCTTATAATTTTAACTATGCAGAAATCAATCATATGATTAGCAAATGACAAAGCAATTGAAACTAGTGAGATTGAGACTATATATAAAATATAATCAGAATATCAACATGCCCAATAATTATGCATGCAGTGTGTGTATATATATATATATATCACGATAGACAAACCAGCAAGAAACGTTGTTTAAGTGGAAAAAAAATCTAAATTTGCCATTAACAGAATAGCTAGGATAATGACTAGTAGCAAAATAATACGAAAGTATTTCAGACTATTTAAGTAGATGCAAATCAGTTTAAACAAGTGAGAATATAATTAATGAAACTTAATTATATTGGTTCACTTAAGCCAATTAAAATATGTGCTAGCAAAACAGATATTAATACATTTTAAGGAACTTAATGTTAAAATGGCTTGCCATATTAAATTCAAGGCGATGAAAAACGACTCCGGGCTCCATCTAGTGGTTATCCTGATAAATGCATTTCTATTGATCTCCATTTCTTCCATAACGCCCCTCAACTTACATGCAAGTTGTCAGTGACAATTTATACAAATTGTTTACTCAAAATAGCTTTAAAAAGCAATAAAGACATTTATTTGATCCCCTTTTGTGGGTTAAGCACATGTTTTGCCAATATGTCTGAAGATAGCACTGGACAGAATACATAACACCAAAATAATGTGTCAGAAATACAATGCAATCCATCCTACCATTTAATTTTCAAATGAACACAATATACATTTTGTGTATTACAAAGTCAATCGGATCTTATCAACCTCTGGAAGACCACATTGCACCCCACGAAGGTAATTGGTGGATCTGCATAAAACACACATCAAAACAGATGCCTGATAATCAGGATAATGTTTGTGATCCTCTTCTCCAGCCACAGGGGAGGACTGATCTAATCACATACAAATGGCTCAAACAGTGAGTCCAGTGTCCCATCTAAAACAGGGCTTGAAGTCTATTTATTAGTCATTAAATTCTCCTTTTAAGTCGTATGCTCCCCTTCAGCCGCCTCCTCTTCTTCACCAGACTCTTCCTCACTATCTTTCACATCATCGCTGTTTTCTGGAACAGATTTGATGATTATTTCGTCATCAACATCATCGTCCTCAACTCTGATCGACTTCCTCCTCTCCAAAACTGATGGTGTGCACACTGGTGTGACATCCTAAATGCAAATAAATTGTCTTTTAAACACTAGTAGCATAAGATTACATATCCTAGTCATTTTCTATGGTAAATGTTGGCACATGGGTTTCATTGTCAGTCACAGTGACTGACAATAAGCTTAAAATGTACCAGTTTCTGTTGGCACAGTAATCTTACTTCAGTCAATGGTTACAACTGAGGTAATTTTCAGTGTGCCCAGCATATGCCCACAAAATCAGTGGAAGAAATGCATACATTTACTGAAATACTTAATCTTTAGGGGTGTAATGATACACGCATTCGTATTCATCCATTCAGTACGAGGCTTTTGGTTCGGTGCGCATTACAAACCGAACGATTCAATGGACTAATCCTATTACATTTTGAAAATAAAACAGCTTAAAGTGTGTGAAAATGTTCTCAGTGCCACTGCGTTCAACAAGGCAGCCTAAATGACGTAACGGGCAACGTGCTGTCTGTCCAGTGGCGTAGTGGAGCGAAAGACCTTGCTGGGTTGCGTCGAAAGACAATGATCTTGTATCGACAATAGCCAGAAATATTGTTCAAAAACAACAATTATTGGCAATATTAAGAGGATTTGCCATTTCCAATTAATGTAGGCCTGTTACATTCTTATTTTTATTAGGCCTATTATTATTATTAAGAAGTTACTTTTATTAGGCCTATTAAATTAAAATTACAATTAATTTGCCCCGCAATAATTACCAAAAAACTGACGTGCTGCGAGGATAACAAAAGATTAGGTAGGGCTGCACGATAAATTAACTACACAGAGCCATTGTTCACTGACGAGCTGCGCAAAACCACGTTCATATTCGCATGATTTTTTGCGCAGCTCGTCCGTGAACAACGACTCTGTGTAGTTAATGCTGCTCAATGTGAAAGCCCACAGGCGATGGAGATTTACTGCTGATTACAGAAACGGCTTTACTGACAAGATGCACATTAAATATCGCATGCGATTTATCGTGCAGCCCTAAAATTAGGCTATATATTTACTCAATAAAAAAAAAAATAAAAAAAAAGGTATTTTAAAACAGGTCTATTATACAATGATTTATAGGCCTACAATTAAAATATTAACACTGCAGTCATCAATCAAAATCAATGAAATAAAGATTTATTTCAAGCACCGACTTTCAAAAACAACCAGTTTAACACGAAATGTTTCTTTTTTTTTTCACTATGTAATATTAGAAATATTAAGGGAATAAATAAAAACAGGTAGCTATATACCGTTATTAGTATAAGTTGAAGTAGATTCGTCTCTCGTCGTCTTTGAGAGAATCAAAATCAATGAAATAAAGATTTATTTCAAGCACCGACTTTCAAAAACAACCAGTTTAACACGAAATGTTTCTTTTTTTTTTCACTATGTAATATTAGAAATATTAAGGGAATAAATAAAAACAGGTAGCTATATACCGTTATTAGTATAAGTTGAAGTAGATTCGTCTCTCGTCGTCTTTGAGAGAATATGTGGCGTCAGATGCCGAAAGCTCAGTTATTACTCCGTCATTTCGTTTTTACTTTCACTTTCTGCATAGTGAATTGACTGAGATTAAGACGCATAACTCCTGCACAAAGTTTGCACGTTGCTTGTGTGTGATATCCATTTGGCTTGCCTTCATGGTTTAAAACAGAAATATTTCCAACATTGCGACGTAACCAATTACCCCCGTACCGAACTGAACCGCGACACCACTGTGTCGTATCAAACCGAAGCGTGAATTTCGTGAACCGTTACACCCCTATTAATCTTACCTCACTGCATACTGAAACATCGGCTTCAGATTGGGCTTTCTTGGCAGGAATCTGAGCTGCCTGAAAAAAGAAGGGGAAAAAAACAACATGGTCAAACTAAAATACAACAAAAAGCATTTTAAAGGAATAGTTCACCCAAGAATAAAAATTAGCTGAATATTTACATAGGACTTTGTTTCTTCTTTGGAACAGATTCAGAGAAGTTTAGCATTACAGCGCTTGTTCACCCTGGTTTCACTGGAGGAAGTGTTAATATGGATTTATATTAATTATGGTTATTAGTTTGACCAGAAGTGATGGTCAAAATATGAGATAAAACGCCTTAATGAGGATTCACAAACATGCAGCTTTTCAATTCACTGAGATTAAGTGATGGACTGGAGCCATGTGAATTATTGTTTTTATCAACTGTTTGGACTCATTCCGACGGTATCCTTTCTCTGCAGAGGATCCATTGGTGAGCAAGTGATGTAAAGCTAAATTTCTTCAAATATGTTCCGATGAAGAAACAAACCCATCTACATCTTGGATAGCCTAAGGGCGAGTATTTTTTTTTCAAATTTTCATTTTTGGATTATCTATTCCTTTAAATGATCTGATTAAAAATAACAACATAGTACTTACAAATCCTGGGAAATCATAGTCAATGCCCTTTGCCGCTAGTCTCTTGCGTAGCTTAGACTCTTTGCTTAAAAGCTTTTCACCAAGTTTCTTCAGATCTTCTTCCGCATGCTGTTTGTTATGACGAGAAACTGCAGGCTGCGTTGGCTTCTTGAAGACCATCCTGGAACCTACAAATAGCTTTTCATGGACCTTCTCAGGTGGCATCACATGACCTATACAGGACAAAACACAGTAATGTTTAGACAACATATGTAAGAAAATATACATGCAAAATCATTTACACAACTCACACTTTATGAGCCGTTCTCCAATAAGATAGTTGTTCATGGTCTCAGCCACAATCTTAGCCACCTCATCACACTCAAACTCCACAAATCCATAGCCTTTGCTCCTTCCAGTCTGTGAAAGATGAGTTTAATAATACTTGCATTAAAATCTTTAAAGCAAGGTATTATCCACTAGTATGACTCTTGTGTGTTTACAGTGTTGGCACATTGGTTTTATTGCACAACAACAGAGTTGGCGATAAGCAAAACGTACCTTATTGCTGTCTGCACAATTATCTTATCCAAAGCAACAAATGCCAAAGATAATTTTCAGATTGTGCCATTATTATTTTATGTTAAACATAAATTATATGTACATACAAGCAAACATCCCAAATTCTCAAGTCTTTATTTGAAAATATTTGGAAGCCATCCCTATGGGATCAAACATGTTTTCTGGATCTTATGTGTTTCTTTATAGAACTTCTACTATAACTCAAATTAGTTTAAAAAAAATTATAGAAATTCCATCAGGATTCCTTTAGGATTTGTATTCAGCCACTTCATTAATACTTTCAATATATAATTTAAGAATCGGTTGTGTAATAAATACAGTGCACTAACCCAACTGATTGTATACTACAAGAACGTCATACCTTTTTACTCCTGGAAACTCTTATTCGTGTGACTTTGCCAAACTGTTTAAAATAAGATTTTAACTGGGGTTCAAACAATCCTCGAGGCAGATGGCCAACATAAAGCACTCCAGGAGAAAGCGACTGACCCTGAGGGAATATAATTAACATTATATTCAGCTCAAAATAATAAAATATGCAAGTCAACTAACGTTAAACAGAACAACGTCAAACAAAACTGAAGAACGTGCAAGCTTTGTAGAACAAATTAGTGTCGAATAAAGAGGTTTCTTCTATTCAAATAACATAATTATGTCTAACAAAGATAACTAAATAAATGTCAAATGTAACTTAAATACTTTTTCAACGTGAAGATAAATGATGGTTGGGCTGAACTCCAGCCACATGGTCAGCCCTCATACCGTTTTAGGACGATTCTTCACTTGCTGAACCTTCTTCTGAAACTCTGCTTCCTCCTTTAGATTCAGAGCCAGTAGGTTTTTCGCCGGCTTCTCTGATGATTTGCCCTCTGTCATGATTAAATATAAGATTGCTAAAATACATATATCTGTACGTTTCAGACCAAGTGTTGTGCTATCTCTCCTAAAACCACGTTGTGCTTCGTTCAGGAAGCTCTTCTTCTTCTTCTTCTTCTTTTGTGTTTAATGGCGGTTGGCAAACCAGCTTAAGGTGCATTTCCGCCACCTACTGGAATGGAGTGTGAGGCCTTCTTTTTCTTCTTCTTATATTTTTACGGCGGTTGGCATCCAGCGTAATTAGGTGCATTACCGCCACCTTCTGCTCCGGAGTGTGGAACACTAATTTACATTCTATTTATTAATCCCGTCCTTTTAAGAAAATTAAAGAAAGCTTTACTATTTATTTCACTTGCCCATTTTATTAAAGATTTAAAATGTACCACCTGAATTCCATTCTTCTTGATTTCAACTATCATATAACTTCCTCATATTTCTTACACTCAAGAATTGCCTGGGTTACTATTTCTTCTACTTTGCATTGTTCACATAGTCCATTTGGATGCTTCCCTAATATTTTGAGTGTACTATTAAGATTGGAATGTCCCAACAATGTTCTATTATAGACAACCTCTTCTTTCCTTGTTTTACCAATATGTCTTATTTTTTTACTTACTTTAACTAAATTGTAGAGAAATCTACCCTTTTCGTTGTTGTCCCACTTTATTTGCCATTCTGCAATAACCCTTTTCCAGATTAAAACCTTAATTTCAGATTTGCTTAGAGGAATTTATCATTCTATTTCCGCTCAGGAAGCAGCTAAGGTTCAAGAAGACAATTCACAATAAAAGTCACTACAAAATAAAAGTCCACGATATTTACCTTTTTTAATAAAATCATTTTTATTCATTGCTCTCATTGGGCCTCATTCATGAAACATTCGTAAATATAGGAGTAAATTCGGAGTAATTTACGCGTAAAACGGACCTTCCCGAAAACTCTCCTCCGGATTCACAAACACTTCGTACACATCAGATTTGATAGTTAAATGTGTGTATGTTAATGAAGTCCAATCATTTGTAAATAGGGCGCTCGTGCGCGCTCATTCACAATTAGCATAATCCCCGCCTGAGTGTCAGGAACGCAGTGGAATATTCTGGTCTACTTTCTCAGGTTTGGCTCCAGTATATTGCATAAATGCTAAAAACACTAATAGGCTATATGCCTAACAATCAATATTCAATAACGTGTGTCCACAAAAGCGTTTTTAGCCAGCTGAAAAACTGTCAGGCGCTCTTCTTAAAACGGCCAGCTGGTGGCGCTGGAGGACGCTTTGGTGGCACAGCGTTTTTCTAGCTGAGCCTGAGAGATGCTTCGGTTGCTATGATTTGAAATATCCACGGCAGTAACATATTACTAGTATCTCATTTTAAGAATATTACTGAATTTAACAATTCAGTAACCAGCAATATGAACTTCTCTATTGTTGTTTTACAAGTAGGATGATTGGTCGGTGTAGTATTTGTCCCGCCCCTCCTCCATTGATTGGACGGCTGGGTAAAAAGTGACACAAGCAGTTTATCAACTCCCAGCTACCAAAAAAAAAACCCGGAGCAAACAAACTTGTAAAATACTATATGATGGCGGTGCATCAAAATTCAGTTGCATTAGTTTGCCAAAAAGAACACAGAACGTTTTACGCAGTATTTACACGTGGTAGGGAGCAGGTGTACAGTTCTTTCGTACCAACTAACATTTTGAAAATACGAACACTTTCACGCATCTGAAAATTTACGTCAGGACGGCTTTATGAACGATTTACACAAAAATTCGTTCTGCTCGTGTTTCATGAATGAGGCCCATTGTTCTTATGATATATGTTGATAACATAGGTTGCTATTTTATTGTTATGTTTTAATTAATTCATATTTTTTCATCTACTTAAATTAAAATACTACTACTACTACTACTACTAAAACTTTGTTTGGTTAACGTTTGCCTGACTGGCAGTGGGTTTTTACTTTGCTTGTTCATCATTTTACTAATAAAAAAAAAAACACTATTAATACTAATTGTTGTCATTTAATTAAAAATACATTTAATAAAAACTAAATCAGGTGCAAAATGAATAACTTAAAAAAGATACATTTAAGGAAATATTAGCTTGTATCCATATGAACAGAAATACAGAGCAGGGTAGAGGATGAAGGGGGTGGGCCCCACACAGATGGGGGTTTGAATGAATGATAGGTTGAATCACTGATGTAAGGCTGTACACACACATAGATCAGCAAAAGTGAGAGTGCAGCAGATTATCACCTGACATGGCAGCTAAAATCATTTATTTTACTGTGAATGGAAGACCAGAACAAGCTGAGTTTCCCATTGACTGTCCTGCACAAGATGTTAAAGGTAAGGATTGTCTCAAATTATATATTTCTTCTAGTCTAACTAGAATAGTATACTTTTATATCAAATGTATAATATTCTTTGATTAAAAAGGTCAAGTTTTTGATGTGCACACAGAAATATAACACTGAAATGAGATGAATGTTTAACTGCTGAACCAATAATAATAATAAATTAAGTTTAAATTACATTTACGTAATGTAAATGATTCAATATATAAATGTTCAGGTAAAAAGGGGGTTGTCTTTAATTCGTGTATCAACATCAAATAGAATTTCTTCTATGAAAAGGTTTTTTTGTAATGACCAAATTGGTTCTCTGCCCTCATTAGCATTTATTCTGCAGAAAACAAGCTTGAGGACTGTTCTCATTTTCAAGGGCACTAACAACAGCCAGGTTTCTTTAATCAGGTCCTCTCAATTACAGCGAGCCCTTATGAAGAGCTATTCTGTTGACCTGGATAGCTAATACAACATAACAGATGATCTCATTTTTTAATCTTTATTTTTTTTATATAAGACTCCACTTCTCTAGAGAACTCTCAGGCCACTAATTAACTTTATATCTTCCATACTGACTCGATGTGCATGGGTGAATATGTAGTCACAGATTGTGAGTCAGAAACAAATAAACCGTCATACTTCAGTTAGACAGCTTGAGTCACAGGTGGTGCTGACAGTCAGTCAGTCTTCAAGTGCCAAGCAGTGGACTAAAGGAAACATATGGCGTTTTCAGCATTAATCACTCATATTAAAGTGCATTCATTTCCATGTACCTCAGTTATGAAGATGAGAAATGTGATGATGAAGTATATCTGCAACATTAACATTAATGATAAATGTTTGTGTGTGTGTTTGCATCACAGATCTTTTCCGAGCTGCAGCTGAGGCTGGACCTCATGACATCTTAAAACTCTATAATACTAAAGGCAATATCATTAATATTTCCCCACAACTGGCTCCAAATAGTCCACACTCCTGCTATAAACTGGAAGTGGTCGCTGCAGACTGTAACAGTGAGCTGATAGGTATTCTCCACCTTAGCACTACTGTATTGATAAAGTTATGAATAAACATAAATGTGATAAATGTCACACGTGACCATTTGGATCATGTTGAACTCTATCTTTTAGGTTCAGATCTGGCTGTTGCTCTGGGATTTGACCTCTCTTCTATGGAGAAAAGGTAACGTTGGGACATTTAAAATGCACACTTTCTGTATGGCAAATTAAATCAGAATTTTCATTTTGGTGATATTTAATAGCCATCAAAGTAGTATGCATGCTTAAAAACGTCCTACTACCTTAAAGAAATAAGAAATCACACTTGTCTGTGACTAGCACAAGAAGAGTCATGATTCATGGCCAACAGCAATCTAGCACAAAATTGCATTTTATATGTGCCACAAACTCTGGCTCTTATTTAACCCCATAAATGAGTCGAATAAAATGTCTTTTAAACAGGTTACAGAGCCTGGAGAAAAGAATCTTAACTGAAGCAGCAGAGACTCCTGCCATTGTGTATGAGATGAAGAGACAGGTGGAGTCATTCAGAGAGAAACTGGAGGTATGAACACTGAACTACTGCATTTGAGATTTTTCATCTGCACCGGGAATTTAATGGATTCCATATATAGTTAAATATTTTCATTATTTTTTATATTTTAAGGGAAACAAGAATGCATTCAGTTGATCAAAGGTGACAGCAAAGACATTTGACGTTACAAAAATTATATATATAATGATGACGATGATGACATTGTAAGGTCCGCGCACCTGGTCCAAGGAAGGTATCCAGTGGCGGATGAAGGTCTCTTGCGTGTTCGGTCTTTTCAGCGTGCAGAGTTATTCAATTTAGGTTTAACTCAATCTGACTCCATTTTAATATCTGAATTCTAATTTAGGTTGAAAGGCACATTGGTTGTTTGTCGGTCTCTGATTATTCTTACATTCGATTATTCTAATTAACTCTTTACTTTGTATTTTTTTCTCGTTCATTAGGAATCTATGTCGCTTAGGATGCCTCACGGCGCCCGCTATGCGTGGGCTCCACGATCACCATATATTTATGGAAATATATATTTCCATAAAATGCCGTTCATTGAACTTTCTATTCATCAAAGAATTCTGAAAAATATATATATAAAACGTTTTTGTTTCTACAGAAATATTTTACACAGCAAAAATTGTTTTCAGCATTGATAATAATAAGAACCATTATTAATAATTGAGCACCAGTGATTGCTTATAATAACTGAGCACCAAATCGGCATTTTAAAATGATTTCTGGAGGATCATATGACACTGAAGACTGGAATAATGATGCAAAAATTTTAGCTTTGCCATCACAGGAATAAATTACATTTTAAAATATACTAAAATAGAAAGTAGTCCTTTTACATCTGAACAATATTTTGCAATTTTTTCTGTTTTCACTGCATTTTTGTTAAAATAAATGCAGCCTTGGTGAGCATATAACTTCTTCAAAAAAGATTTAAAAATCGGATTTATTCCAAACGTTTTGTTGGCAGTGTTTATATTTAATATTTATTTTGTGTGTTTTGTATTTCTTTCTTTTCTTATTGTTTTTTTAAAATTTTATTTTGAAATTAAGGACTTTACTATCTCTATCAGTAAACATAAGGAACATTTACCAAGTGCATGCATATTTCTATCCCTATAACATGATGTCTTTCTCTTTAGAGTGTTGAGCACCTGAGCTGGTTGGGACTGTTTAAAGACATATCAGAAGGCACCCACAAGCCCTCCCCTTTCTACCATAAAAGAACCCTGCGCAA